ATGCAGCGATTTTGGCCCTAAAGCGGCGCAATTTCTGCCGTCGCGGCGCTCGTGCCGCTCAACCACTGGTGCTGGCTTAGTGCTGGCCAGAGCGTCGCGACGGCAGAAATCGCGCCGCTTTAGGGCCAAAACCGCTTCATGTGAACTAGGCTTTAGGCAGCACGGCACTCACGCAGGAAACCGGTTTCCCGGTACGGTAGCTCCCGGTACGCCGGCGCCCTCCTCTCCTCGCTTCGGATCGCGGAGACACGTTTCGGAGCGGAGGCGCGACAGAAACTCGACTCTCAGGAGCCCTCAAAATTTGGCGTCACTCCACTGGCGCGGATCGCGCGGGAACTTCAAATTCAGAATTTGGAAATTGTTTTTTTTTTTTTTTTTTTTACTTCACAAATACTGAACTCCCAAGTTTGGAATATTGAGACTAATGTCCCAGCATTGTTTTCAATCGTTTCAAATAAAAAAGAAAATATGATTTCGATGTGTCAGTGCCCCTTCAAGCTGCCTTGGCCCGTGTGTAGCGCTTTTTCGTCACATCCGAACGTAATCATTTTTGCATGAAATCCAACCCTTGAACACAAACACATGTTCTGTTAACAAATAAACGACACTTTTTTTCCTGTGGTATTCTAGCCACAAGGCAAAGCATTCTAACGCACAGCGGTGTAGAATGTAGCTTGGCGCGATATTTGTTCATCTATTTATTTTAAAATGCTGGAGATGATTTTAAACTACCCAAACAGGACTAAATTACGACCAGTTTCGAGCAGTTCGCTCAAAACAGTCGACGCTAGGAGCATGCGCGCCGTCGGAGAGCAGTAAATTGCCTTCGTGGATAGTCGAAAGAAAAAAAAGGGTATTCAAAGGCTATATTACCTTAGTGATTAGAGCAAAGGTTCAAGAGCAAAACGATGCCTTCGAAAGCGCACTGCAACGTATGTTGAACAATGTAAGCTGCCCCTAAAGATAACAGCTCGCACTTCTAACCTTGCGTCAGTGGTATTAATGGCAGGTTCTTCACCCGCCGTGATAAAGCAAAAATAGGTCCTCATAACCTACATAAGACAATAGAGGGGCAAAAACATTCTCTGTGTGCTCATCTTTACATTTTTTTTTTTTTTTTCAGAAAGTTCATTGATAATAATACGTCAGAATGCCTTGTCGAAATAGAAATACCGACCGCGTCTTCCGTTTTATTGAACGAATACCGAAATGGCCCGGGAAACAACTCCCCACAAAATGTTTAAAAATAGAGAGAAAAACTTTCTTGTGGTGTTGTTTTCTGCCTTGTATTGCATAATTTTCGAAATCACTACGTATAAGGCAAGATAGTTGATTTACATTTTATAAATATTAATCAGATACTCCAGAGTCAATAAAATGAAAGTTGTAAGCCACAATAGGGACAATTTCTTTCTTCAACGGCATAAACCTCACAATCATGTTGTACCAACACGTCCAAGTTACTGAATACTACTGTTTTGGCGCACTATGGCCTCAGCAGCCGCTGCGCCATTAAACCCCAAAATCAATCAATCAATTACTAAATGCACTGCTCCTAAACGGTAACTAACATACGATGCCTGTTTACACAGAAGAGAGTCGCGATAACTGATGGAAAAGCAGGCGCCTCCTGCAAGAACTCATGGCTTATGAGATTGGGTTAGTTGCCTTACCTATCATATTTCCGTACTACCCAATAAATGAACTAACGACAGAGCTGGCTAGTGCTAACTTCATCCGCGTTTCAACATTTTTAGAACATCTAGGCACCAAATTTAATTGAAAATTACCTTCTCTAGCCACAAATACTAGAAAAAGTGTTTCCACCGCAAAGGACTGTGCGAATATGGTAAATAAAAGCGAAAGCTTTCATGATCATGTTCTTTTTAGAGGGTGACACTCATAGTGAGAGCAAACTTTCCAGCTCGTGCCGATGATTCCCATTCCTCGAATCACGTGAGACGCCTGTGTGATGTTCCGGGAGAAGTCCGCAGTCGTTGTATACCCTGCGTTGAGCTCCCCGAGTTGCGGTAAGAAAGTTATGTGCGGGGCGCAAATTCATCTGCTTCTTCTGCAGGGGTTGGGTGACGTCTGAATGCCTAGCTATGATTGGTTCTGAGCGAAGGATAGTGGGTAGACCTCAAGGCATCTTATTTTGAGGTGTACCCACATTCTTTCAATCAAACCCAATCAGAGCTCGGCGTCGTCCTGACGTCACCGCAACCCCTGTCCATGAAGCAGACGACTTTCCTATCCGCATAGTCTCTGAAAGTGTAAGAAACGCAGGGACTATGCGGATAGTGTTCAAGCCTTTTGCTTTGCGATTTGGTCTTGGTGTTTCTCGTTGATGGAAGACGAGCATAAGTGCGTATGGGGGGCGCAGCTGGAGCAAATAAATGTTCAGAATGGTGGTCCGATATGGCTGATATATAAATAGAGTTGGCCGGTAAAGGAACCCAGAACCAGGAACGCGTAAACGCAAGTGAATCCGCTACCATTGCAGCACACCCGGATTTTTCACCCGTCGCTCGAAGACTAAAACGAAAGTAACCGTCTTGGAGAACAGAGTCGCAAGGGTTCATACTGGTTGCAGCCCCATCTATTCTTTACGGTCACGGGTCTCGTTTTTCGGGTTATTTCTACTCATATGCGCAACTCTGGACGAGGTTAGAAGAAAAGTGTTTTATTATTTATTTTATTTATTCGAGACTGCCAGCTGCCTTTTGGCATCCAAGGCAGAAGTGGTTACAGCAATGAGTTTTATATAAGGGAAAGGAAAGTAACCAGTAAGGCACATAGGTCCCTAACAACGGTAAATTAAGAGAACAAGTACCAACAAATGCTATTTCCAGATGGAGATGGGCCTATAAGAAAAAACGAAATTAGCAGTGACCCTAAGGCGCTACAATCGCAAGTTATATATGAGAAAATTAGCGGGATGGTGCTGGTCTCCATCCTACTAAAAGTGGTAAAGCGAAAGAGAAATAAAATAAGCACACTTCACTCACAAGTAGGTAGCAATAGAAGATACAAACAAATCCTGAGATGCTCTACCGGCCACGTCACGTGGGAGGTCGTTCCATTCGCCTATCATTCTTGGGAAAAATTAAAACCGATATCCGTTGGTCCTACATTGTGGCATCAACATTGTCTTACTATATTTTTTTCCTAGTCTGGCGAGCTGTGTAAACTGCATATAGTCGCAGAAATTCCGACTTGTCTGATTATTAAGTAAAAGAAAAGCTTTATACGGTGAAACCTCCAACGGGATTTTCGGCTTTATTCGCCCCGTTTCATGTTTTACGTTTGTGACGTAGCGTCTGTATATGTATGATTGCTTGTAAATGTGCGCACGTTTTTATTGCTTGATGAGAACTGACCGCTGGAATGCATACTGTACAGTCCACCGTTGTTGGAGATCTCATAAACGAGAAACGCATGACAGAACGTAGAACACTGGGTTTGACATGACTTCCACCCTTTAATTACATTAACGAATAAACAAAAGGTAACAACTAGGGGTGTGCGAGTATTGACTCGAATCGAATAGCACTGCGTCATTCATAACCTTCATAACTCTAGGGAGACCTACAATATACAAGTTTTCGTCGCAGTCCTGACACTAGAGAAGAAGCTGCCTTATTTGATTTCATACAGTATTCGCACACCTCTTGTAACTAACCAAAGCTGAATCCAACATTCTAAAATAGAACTTACGCAAAATAAACTTCGGTCGACATTGATTCACCGTTTAACTGTCATTTGATGAGATCTCTAATCTCTCCGCATAGCACATAACAACAACGTCTAGGACTGTTGTGTCTTCGAATCAACGCTCTCAACGGCTGGTAACTAGCGCTCTAAAAAAAATGCGCTTGCGTCCACATTCTCGAAGAGCACCCGCAGAGCCATTTACTGGCGTTGACAGAAGTTGCTTGAGGAATGTCGAAGGATGCTTGCCCCGAAAAACGGGGAACATGAAATCTTACCAGCTTACGGCATAAAGTATCATATTATATTATTACCGTAACAAACTAAAACCCCGAAGCTATATAGCACGAGGGACGACACGACACAGTGGTCTTAGTTTGCAACTTCTGTGTCGTGTCGTTTCTTTTCTCTAGTCTCGAGCTTTTAATTTATTATATTCTTGCATCACCAGCTCGTTTGCACCCTAACAATATGTTCCTACCGTAGTCATATGAAACATTCGGTTAAAAAATTTAAACGTTTTTTTTTTGTCCATCCATCACTCCCCGCGATTGCTCTGAAATTCTACTGATTTATGTGCGCCTCTTCAGCACATTCGAAACGAATTAAGTTTAAAATATTAAACATACACTCAAAAGAAAATAAACGCCGTAGAGAGACCTTTAATCCCTGCTACACCACGTGGAACATCGGTCAGATTCTTTCGAGTCATCCTGAAATTTTTCAGGCTAAAAGAATTTCTATCGTAATATACTAAAGCTCCTACCACGTAAATAATCAAGATGCAACAAAATTTTCACTCGATTTTGTTTAGTGATCCTTCAATTACCGGGTAGCTAATTGCCCGGCAACGAAGGCCCAAAATTCTTTCTACTATTTCGCTTTCTCTAAACTACAAAAAGACAAACAAACTCACATTTTCTGGAATGTAAAGGACAAGCCTTCCTTCCACTTTACAAACAAAGTGTACTCTATATATTATTGATATTTTGTATCACAGAACGACGCGCAACAAACTACAGTTAGATCACACGCCAGTAAACTGCTATGACCCCGTCGACTCGATTTCGTGAACACCCGCAATAAGGTCAGTAAATCCGTCAACCCAATTCAGAGTCACATGAGTCCGCGCGAACTACGTCACGCGAGATTGCAGCTCACCTTGAGGACTTGCACCAAAATCCGGTGTGAGGCGCCAATTAACAACCCCTTGTCCAGCGTTATCAGAAGCCTTGATGAGCAGACGCTCTGATTGCACTTTTATTACCGCCAAACGCGAGACAGAGTACATAAGAGCAGCCCCTGTTCAAGCTTTGACACACAAACGCAGCTGGATTCATTCATTCGGCCGAGGAAGTAACCAAGACAGGTGAGCAACAGTGATGTTGGCGTTGAAACGCGCTGACCTTGATTTGTGTAAACTTTTTAGTGAGCTGTGCCTTTGAGATGTGAGCTTTCAAAATCGTTAATTGTTGCAACAAAAACGTTTGTCACGCAGTTTCGCCAGATCATCTTTCATCCAGGATAGAGTTAAACAGATTGTAATATATTTTTCACCCTTAAATTCCACAATAACACGTCAAGTTCGTAAAGCTTATTGTTTGTGTCTGTTGCAATTATTTTATTTTTACTTGGGGCTTACGATTTCTTCTTCGTTCTTTTTATCTGGAAGAATCAAAATAAAGTGTACAATAGCTAAGTGTTCAAAAACCCTTCATTTTCGATACTCAAGGATGATAAGCTGTGCCGTGCTATAAAACTGGCCACCACTTATATCAAAGACATAGGCGCAAAGGTGTAGCTATGTAAAATGCCCTGTTTGATCAAGCAATCGCACGTGTGCCTTTCTTAATACTGCACACGATTATGTGGGGCATGTTCTTTTGGGCTTGCAAACTTGCGACACCATCCGAACAAAATGTAATGAACTCTAGCATAAAAAGAAGATTAAAATGTCATTATCGATACGGCATTGCTTATACACACTTGTGTTATTGAACACAGGAAAAAAATGCAACTGACGGTGCAAGTGGCGGTCGCCCTCGTGGCTGCAGTGATGGTGGTCTGTCCTGTCAGCGCACAGCTGGTGGACTGCCCGGCCGTGGAGGGCAAAGACGACAACGCGACGTTGTTCTACAACCCGTACAACTGCTCCACCTACTACGTGTGCGACCACGTAAGTAGTCATACACCTTCCTACCTCTCCGAGGAGAAGACAATGAATCTAGATGTAGTGGTTATTACAACATCACGTCGTGTCTACTTGAAGAGCGTTTGCGTGAAATGCTCGTTCATAAAAAAAAAAACACTCGTATGGCAGTGCGATGTGCTATACTGGCTCAGTAACGTTAAGTGAAAATATGTAGTGCAACACAGCGCGTACGCTGTTAGCGTGACACACAACATCGGCTTATGTTCACATTTCATTTCGGAAATGTATTGGCAGGCACAAAATTGTACCGCTGAGAGAAGTGTCCAGATTAGCACTTCCCTCCATACCAGTAGACATGATGAGAACCTTTCGACTCAATAAAAATAAAGTACTCGCCATAGCTTGTTCGCGCTAAAGGTGTCGCGCAGTGTCCGTATGCACAAAAAAGTCTGGCTAGAATATTTTTTATGACCACGACGGCTGTATGTGTTTCTTCAGAAACAAATGACTGCGTGTGTATAGTATTTCTGCAGAGCACTCGAAGAATTAATCAATGCACGTCACACAAAAATGACTAAAACAAAATACGACCTTTTTTTAACCGAAAAATGAGGCTGCCCTTTGGCGGTCTTGACGTGTCAGACTTCCCAATGGCACAAAGCAAAAGCGACGTTCCTTCGTCAAAGTCTTTTTTTTTTACATCTCGTCATTTCGTAAGCTTCCCCTTTCACTTGCACTGAGTAGAACCCAATGCCAGCGGAGTTTCCGATTCTATTTCTTAAGTTGTCACTTTAGGGCTTTGCGTTAAATTTAGTGTGTTGACTTTGTTGTTTGGCCAGCAAAACGCCGTCGTTTATCGTGTGGCTTAGCGTCATACTGTCGTTTTGATATTGATTTTGTGTTTGTGATCCTACGTTTTACACTAATCTTGTTTTGGAGCTATTTAATCATTCAACTCAGATGTCCTGATTGATGTAACTAATTATGACCGCGAGTCTCGTTATCGGTGGGTACAGCTGGGATCGTTATTAAAACAATATCGAGGCTAAGCACATCCCGCCTTTCCGCCCCTTTTAGTAACATTCGTGATAGAGCACGAACTTCCCTAAGTGCCACATGCATTGTCCACCGGACGTTCTTCCTTGGTTCTGCCGTTCGAACAGGTTTCCTTAAAAAGAATCTGAAGAAGGTCTTGAAAAATAAAACGAGTTAGAGGTGCATTCCGGAGTAATTTGATCCCGTGAATTTGAATATTGCGTTCATTTTCCCCAAAGATGTAACGAAACGCGAGAAAGCACGAAACACCTACGACCAGTCGTTACGTCATACCCAGATATTTCGGCCGCCATGTGCGTGTCGCTCGTGTGGGCTGCGAGTGCAATTTTAAGCTTGCCGGGTATATTCCCCCGCACTGACACCAACCGTTACGTCTTTCTGTGACCTTTTCGAACATGCCGAGAGTGCGCGTGCATTGCTTTGATAGGCGCTGGAGATCCGCGAGAGCGGATTCCGAAAGCACTGGATATGACATCATGTTCCAGGAAGGAGAGGCTTCAGCGGTACTTTGAAAATGGCTTTTTTGCAGCCTCCATGCATCAAATTGAAAAACTCATTTCTTAATTTGGATTATGGAGGCCAAATAAAGACGATTCAAGTGTTGTTTTTTTCTCGAATACAAAAGCGCTTTAGTTTCCCTTTAAGGCAGCAGTCACAACGCTAATACGTGATACAAAAGACCATCTGAAGACATTGTCTGAGGAGGTGTGTTTCTTCCTTGTGGGACGTTTTCGGCACATTGGTCATAAAAAAGGCTGTCTGCAGACAAGTTCAGAGCCTGTGTGAAGCAAAGTTGGCCCGAATATTCGTGAATATTCGAATATTTGAATATTCGAATATTCATGTCCGCAAATAATCCTGTCATCGTGTCTCCGGTAAACGACGTGTTTTTTTAACGATGTTCGGCCGGCGCGAATGCGGTTTTACGCCCACCGCATTTAGCGTAGGCACCCAGCTGGACCTCATGAGCCCCAGTCGGTGACCGAGGCACTTCCCCGCTCCGTTCCTTTTCACAGGGTACCCCGGTGCTGATGCCCTGCCCGCTGGGCACCAAGTTCAACGACGAGTCGAAGATCTGCGACCATCCGGACGACGCCAACTGCTTCGAGCTCCAGCCGCCCACCGAGGCGCCCGCGACGGAAGCAGCGCCAGAGGACCCGCCGCTCACCGAGAAGATCATCATTACCAAGACGACGGAGGAGATCATTAGGCCCGTTGAACCCGTGCCGGAAGCTGAACCCGTCGCGTGAAGCGAAGCTTCGCCCAGTTGCCAAAGTTCGTTTCAACGACGAACTCTCACCGCCCTTCAGTCGTTGCTCCGTCGTCACGCGAGTCATTTACGCGCCCACGATATAAATTATATCCCCGTCGGATTGCCAGTTAGAAAGATCTCACTGTTGCTGTTATAATATAAATAAAGTTGTTTGAGAAGCACCGTTCTGGCTTGTTAGGTGTAGTTTCACGGCACGTCCGGACGGAACGTGGAAGCTCCAAAAAATGTCACTCGAAACATTTGGGAGAACGGTAGTGTATACGTCCATCTTGCGTGAATTTTAGTTAAAATAATCGTGAGCTCGATAATCTTTAAATTACGTACACTACGCGATGCTGTTAGCGCAAGCAAGCGATCGCCGGTTTTTTTTTTACGGCGGAGCTGTTAAGGGGTAGTTTCCCCAATTTCGTGTCCGTGGACAAATAAATCTCAACACAACCCTCTGGACAGCTACCGCCATCCATGAGTGACGGCGGCAACCAGACAATCGGCTTTCCGGTTGTCTGGTTGTTGTCGTCGCTCATAGATGGCGGCACATAGTACAGCTCCGTTGCTCTTCCGTCTCTACCAGAGTGGAACGGCTGAAGGTTTTTCTTTTTTTCTTCCTTTTTCAGTATCAAAGGGCTGACGTTGAAACTATTATACACCAACGCAGTTTTTCCAAACAGGGCCGCTTTGCCCATACTAGGGGTCGGCACTACGCGTGCGCAGAAACTAAATTCGATTGGTCTGAAGCATTTGCGCATGCGCAGTGCCGACAGCAGCGCCACCGCAGGGGAGTGACGTCAGTGAGTCGAGTTGGTCTATACTCCGTTTTACTGCATAAGACTGACTGCAGCCAGCGCTACGATTTGATCCAGCCGATCAGGCAACGCTAAAAATGCATCGTCACGGCGCTCATGGCCTTTGTGCGTTTGCTATTGGAGACTATAAGCCGATCACGCACACTCAAAGTGCCGTGATAACGCGCTTTTTTTGTGCGTAATTGGTTGAGTGGGTGGTCGCAAACCCACAAAAGAAGGAGAGCCGTGACTGTGTACTTTTGGTGCTAGTTGATTAACTCAATAAATCATAGCGTACCGGCTGCAGTCGGGCTTGAAGTAAAACTGAGTACTACAGCGTGGCGGAAAGTAGTCAGCTGCTACACTAACCTGACGAGTAAAGATTTAGCGCCAATTCCTTTTCTAATCAAAATGCAAAATGCCGACAAAAAAGGTGCTATTGTCGTGTTTGCGCGAGCAGTATTACGTAGCATACGTTTTAGGGTAATTTTGTATGCTTCGAAACCTCGGCGTCTAAGTCAATATTAACCGGACGAGCTTGAGATTTCTAATGTGCCATCTAAATCTCATCAGCTCGTATACTGTGTTTAGAATAAGTCTTCGTAAATTTGTTAAGCCATTCGCGAGATGCATCCTTTTAGAAGCATCTTCGCATGCTTGGACGATAATCCGTGACTCTGAATCAGCCCTCAAGTAACGACAGCATTGAATCAAAAGTCTTTCAAACGGACAAATAATTTCATAGAATTTCAAAGCGCTCCCGGGTATTGTTTTGCGAGGTGGCATCCCGTGTTTCCCACGGAGACCTAGTAACTGTGGCGTTGCGGGTAACGAAGTAGTTGTTACCAAGGATGTCTGTCTCTGTCCCCTATTAGTGTTTTGCTATCTTCGTATTGACTATTAAACCAACCCGCTCGTCAAACTCATCAGCTGCACAAGAACACGAATCTCTTTTACAAGTTCTGAATTCATTCGGAGCATTCTATACTCGCGCAAGAGGGACATACCCGGGACGATCTACCGCAGCGTAGTTTTGAAAAGATAACGTAAATCAAAATTGATTCTTCAAATTTATATATCCATAATTAGTTTTTTGCCCAACTCTTTCCCGTGGATAGGTCCATAATTAATGTTTTTTGACCCTCGTTGAAACAACGAGAAGCAATTCTTCATTGCGTGTGGTTAAAAGTCGCTCGAGCCGAAGGAATATTAAAGCCTGTCCTACAAACCAACGAATGCCCTTCTACGATACTTATCAACGGGCCTTGACAAGGGACTAATCACGTGCACTAAGCTCTATCTTGTTTATGTGGTCTGTTATATGTGAGTGTAAATCTTTCTGACCTTTTTCCTTTATCAGTTATATCCTTCACTATCCTCTCCTCCAAAATAGCCCATCCGAAGATTTTATCTAGGCTAATTTCTCTCGTGTCCTTTCTCTTTCTCAATAAAATAAATACTTTTTCCAGGACAGAGATTATCTTTGTGGCTAATGACTCACATGTTCTACTGTGGCAGTGTCCCACAACCTCATACTGCTTCATGCGTGGTGGACTTGGCAGGTGGCACAAGTGCCACGCAGAGGTACGAGTTTCAAACACCGCAGGCCCAGTTCTTTTTTCATTTTTTTTTTTACCGGTGGCTTTTTTTCTAAGTCCCAATTTATTCTTGGCGGTTATCGTATGTTCTGTTTAAGAAGCTTCGGCCAGTCGCCTATTCGTCACCGATGCAGAACGTATATACAGTTGCGGATGCTCTCAAAACACCCAGGCGAGCGCGTGGCTTATAAGGCAGGCCGCGCTACCTATCAGAAGAAAGTTGAACCACTGACGAGGCTTCAGCGGTTGTTCAGTTTTTGTTGTCGCTCTCCTTAAGGCCATGTCACACTGAGGCAACAGTTCGACAACTCTATCCGGCAACACGAAAAAAACGTGTTTTTGGCGACTCTGTCACATCGCGGCAACAGCAGTCGGACAACCTGTTCCTGTTGCCCTGCAGCCGTGTTGGCTGATTTGTTGTCCGACCACTCTGTTAAGGCCCTGTCACACTGAGGCCACACGATGGCAACAGCAACAAAACACGGTGTCCAACAGTCGGGCGACTTGTTGCTCGCTCCCCGTTTTTGTTTAACGAACCTGTCACATCGCAGCAATAGCAACACAACATGGACGACAACAAAAATGTTGCCTCGGTAAGACACATATCGGCAACAAAAACAGCAGCAACTTGAGTTGGACAACGTGTGTTGCCCTGATCGTTGGCTGAGCGAATTTCGGGCATGTAACACGACAACACAGATAGCTTCGATGGCAGAGCTAGTTCCCTATCAATAACGTCTTACTAAAATAAAAACTTGCAAAACGTTATTTAACACCACTCTAAAAAAAAAAAGAGTATCAGCTTACACCCTTTTGTCCCATATAATACACCCCGAAACTTCATTTCGACGTACAGCGCCCTAGAGTCGAACAGACGGCACGAAATTTTACCAGGGGCTGGATAACGGTGCAATATAACTTATTAAATTGCTAAAGCACGTATCAAAGACCAAAGAAAAAAATCATGAAGCTTTTGCAGTGCAGCCAAGAAAACTCCGATAATATTTTTGTAGTCAATAATACGTACATCAGCTATCTTAATAAGTTGTACCACACGGCTATCAAGCCCCTCGTAAACTTTTGGGCCGCCTGTTCGATTATGGGGCGCTGTACGTCGAATTGAAGTTTTGGGGTGTATTATATGGGACAAGGGGTGTAATAATACACCTTTTTTTCTGAGAGTTTAATTAAGGCTGGCGCGCAGCTAAAATAATTTGATCAATGTCTTTATTGCGTACTTACGGAAAGCGACTGTCGAAACGGTCACAGCTGCGGTCGTGAACGTCCAAACTGGTCCTGAAATTATAACTGCCGAAAGACCAGCTCACATTACTTCTGGTGAAATAAAATGACATGCCTACTCATTTGCAGATGAAGGATTATAAAAAATAATACCTTGAACCTTGAATTCTCATCTTTTGGCGCAAACTGAAATCGTGCTACCAAACTGAAGATATTAAAGGGACCTTGAAATTATTTTTTCACTCTCGCTAAATACTACTCACAATCACTCCATAACGTAACTAATAACAGAGTAAACTTGCCTTAGTTTTTCTTTCTAAACAATGGCAGTCGGAAAACAAATTCGAGAAAAATGAGCATCGTTCATCCCCTCAACTTTGAGCGAGAAAAAGCGGCTACGTGGCCTCGTGCCCATCCTAATCCGCCAACTAGGTCCACTAAGTGAGCTACGCTTAGAGTACTGACACTCTGTTCCCCGTTTTTGTTCAATCTTGGTGCTTGTGCAGAACAGACACAACTGCCGGTTGTCATGATTCAAGAGTGCGACTTCTTTTGCCTTACATTCTGTGTTGGGAAGCTCACGTAATGTTGCTTTGCTCTGTCGTGAACTATTTAAACATTTGTGGAGGACGGAAAAAGTGTTTCCTGTGATTTCAAATTAGGCTTCAGATAACAGGCTACCATGATTTTACGCCCCAAGATGGGTACGTGTCGTTACTCTGAAGCTGTGGCTCTAACGCTAGCGTTCATCATACCCCCGCGGGGGTCGGCAAAACAGAAAACCCATGCTGAGCAACATGCATTATTAGAGTTTGGCTATTCTCATCGCCGCAGTGGTACTACAAGAGCCACTACCCGAGTGTCCGCCGAGGCATTGACTGTTACAAGCCAAAAATGAGAGCTCACGCATATTTCCTGTCCAATCCATGATCCGCGCTCGACTGTTGTCAGGCGGGTGGTTCGGTCCTACAACTATCGTCTCCAAGCTTTGCGGAGGCAAGGCTAAAAGAAATGGCCCCCTTTTATCCTCTCAATTTCACCGCAACCAAGGAGCTTCTGAATCAGTGGTGGTTCGTTCGAGTATACTTGGGTCAGACTAGAACCAGTACGCCTCGGTAAAGTCATGAACATTCCAACCCGATATTGTTTCATGACCCCTTTAATAGGGCGGTGCAACAATGTTTGCACATGGCACGAATGCTGCTTAGAAGGAGTTCTTGACGTTTCTTCCTGCGTAATAAACGTCGCAGAAAAATATTAAAGAAAAACGAACAGAGTTCACCCCCTTAACTTGCAGCCAGAACAAGCGGCCACGTGATCTAGAGCCGATTGTATGCCGCCAAAGTTTATCACAGCAACGCGCTGAAATTGGCAAAGCAAAGGTCACGCGCTGAGTTCCTGATATTGTTAGGGTTCGGCTATTGTCGTCATTGTCGCGATTGGACACGAGCCACTACCCCAATGCTTTGTCGAGTTAATGATTATTACAAGCCCAAATGCGGTGCTCACGCAATGCTCGGGTCCAATCTATGAACCGCGTT